ATTGTATATATATATATATATATATATATATATATATATATATATAATGCTTTACACACTCGGTGTCCTGAAACCCAATCACTAAACACGAAGGCAACAGGGATTCTGGAATATGACAAGTCGCGACAGTTACCTCAGGGAGAGAGCTCCATTTCTTCATAAACCTACGATTTACCAGCTCACCTTCAGAAAACTTCCTCAAGAAAATGGTCAAAAACTGTTCAACGGAAACCAGGCAATACACTGTTCTGGACATAATAACTATCTGATGGACTAACCACAGCGAAGCACCAAACACTCATTTGTGGCTAAAACAGAACGTCAGTACTGGCGAAATGCACTCAGCTGCTACTTATACTTGCATCATTGGGGACCGGACTGGATCTTATCTGAATTTCTCGTTTTTGTTCAAGTAAAACAGACGGTTGAGGAAAGCTCGGACATCCGCCTACTTGATGGGCCCCAAGGAGGGTGAAACTGGTCGTGAAATATCGAAAAATTCTCAAGTCCTGCGGGTAGCACTCCGTCAAGAAATCCATTATGTTTAAATAGAGAGATGAGGTCTATTTTGCATTGGGAGATGGAATAAAACATCACGTCTACCGTTCAAAGTGACTCACCCACAACCGTCATCCAGGGCCATATTTGTGTCGGCGAGAGTGAGGAGGATTTTGAGCTCAGATTAACTGTCCCTGAAGAATCTCGCAAGTCGGTGTTCGAGCCAGAAGGAGAACGGTCTGCATTTTGACTGTCTATGCTTGCTGTGTTGTTAGTGTGCAATCCGAGCATACCGAAATCGGAGTCACCACAAATTCCACCACCAACTCCTCCACTAGATGCCATGTAACCACTTGCAGCAGCAGCCGCTGCAATAGCAGCTACTGCAACCGCGGCATTTGATGACGGGGTTGACTGGACAGTTTGGGGCGAGTTTGATATTCTCGTCTGGTCAGACTGTGTGCTGTCCAGGCTGGAGTTGAAGTGGCGCTCAGCCAGCTTTGTGTCTGTTCGCAAATCCAAAAACGGACTCGCCGGAAAGCCACAAGGTATTGTTGGGTTTGGCTGTCGTAACCCAGGAACGGGAGGCCTCAAAGGTGCATACCGCGAGGATGGGGTGAAAAACCCAACTTGGGGACAGTTGGCCAGAAAAGATTGGAACGGTTTGGTATCATAGGGGTAGTTTTGGGTCATCCTGTAACCAGACTCAGAGAACAAAGGATTTTGAGGCAGATTACCACCTGTTGTCCCATCTGGCTGACAGGGTAATGCATTTGTAGAGTCCGCGTCTGTATCTATGGCCTTAACGTTACGAGATTGGGCTAGTCCAATGGACAAAGGATCCATCCGTTCGACTTGCGAAAAACCTTGGTTTGAACTGAATGTGGCGTTCATTTTGTGTTGTGAATCACTGGGAGTTAACGAGGGTCCAAAAGGCATCTGAAAATTATGGGCTGTGGAATAACACTCAGTGGAAGCCTGAGTTTGCACAGCTTCAGAAGCTGGGTGGGAGAATAGGGCTGCCAGAGCATTGGATCGGGCTGGACTTGCATTACAGACCTCCGTTCCCGAAAATACACGTTGCGCTGCAGGCATGCTGGGAAAATCTGACTGTTGCCAGTCGGGTCGGAATTGGTCCGCGAACTGAGGTTGGCCGAGATACGATGGTATGTTTCGAGGAAATAAGTTATCAAATGCTGTGGGTAGTCCAAGAGGAACGGGTCGGTTATCCACCGGAAACATTGGAAATCTTGGCAGTTTGAGGGAGGTATGGTATGGAGTGGGTTGATTGAGTGGCGTTGGACTCACTTGAGGAATCGATGACTGTGGGGTTTGAACACAGGTCTGAATTACCTCGGGGAGGGTTACACCAGTCCCGGGTTCGGTTGACGATGGTAATGACCAAGGAGAATGGTGCTCATTAACAGGTTCATTCAAATTCAAACCGTGGAATTTTTCGTTGGGTCCGTTTGCAGTTTTTCGAAGTACCTCTTTTGTGTGGTGCAGATCAAATTGTGCCGGCCGAACTGTTGCGGATGTTTCAGCGTTCCCAACCCACACTTTCGAGTTTACCCCGGATAGTACTCGAGGATTGGTCGAATTACCGTTTGTTAGCCCATTGGATAGGTGGGTAACGAAAGCCAGATTAGGAGAATCAAATCGATGGACTATCGGTTCGCCGAACCCGAGTAGGCGAGGGTTATGGACAGCAGATTCGGCCGGTTGGATTGTTGCCGAGAATGATTCACTGACGTTACTGCCGGGCTGGCAGCTATTCGGGTGATTCAAGCCGTTTGTTACGGGTAAACGGGGATTCATTTTGTCTGGGTTCCTAAGCTGTCTTAACGAAACACGTGGACTGATACGGAAATTATGGTTTATTGCTGTGTCCTGTGTATTGAGGCAGTCGGACTAGACTTTACTTTCCAATTCGCAAGTGCCATACGGCACACAGACACATTCAGCGTGGTAAGGGGGTGGAGTTCAGTTCGGTAAGAAGGATCGGAAACCATAGGGCTGTTCCAGCATACCAAACCTAACCAGCACGTCTATGGACATCCAGTAAGGGAGGGTGGATTGACCAAAACTAATGCCATTTGGTCGTAGCGTAAGGAACAGATTTCACGCACACAGTACTTTCGGTTGCAGCTTTCCTACCCTACCTCGTCCTCTTCAGCCAATCGCATCAGAGCGAAATCTGTGTGACTGTGACGGCTGATCAATCAGACATACTGAGTGCTGATTGGCCGACGTTGAATAAAACAAAAGGGGGTTGACAGCTAAATGAGGTGGAAAGCGATACCAATCCGGATGCGCGCAAATGCGACAGACTAACTGGTAATATGAGAATTTGAAGCGAATGGCGAATCACACGGACACTATTATGTCGGTTCGATAATCCAGTTCTGTATTTTCAGGCCGGCAACCGCGCTATTTTGAAGACGATGAAACTCAAGCAGTGTGAAATCCGACAGCTGATAGGTTTTGTTGTGTTTCGGTGTGATACTGCACTAATCCAACCAAGCATTAACGGGCTACTTTCTTCTGTGAACAATCTACAGGACTCGACGTTACACCTATCGCATATAGGCCACGGATGCTGACACCGAACAAATCGGTGTGCATTTACTCAAAAGGCCCGTTGGTAAAACTCAGGCAAGACTGGTGACATTGTTTCAGAGACAGAACTCTAGAGGGTGCTTCTTCAAAGATCTGTGTCCTATCCACGTGTATCAGTGAAATGCGAAAAGAATTTGCGACGCATCGTAGGTCTAAAAAAGGGTAATACTAGATTCTGTTCCTTCACAAATCGTAGGTGCAGGAAAACCTGTCCGTGTCCTCGAGCAGGCAGAGGCCAATTATAGAATCAAGTTAATCAATGACTTAAGGATGACTGAGACTACAAACGAGCACATCGCTCGATTACTTCATGAATACAGGTGAAGAAGCCCGTGAGTGCTTACAAGGCCGTTCCTAATATGATACGTACTCTGGTTAGTAAGCCAAATATCAAGATACAGAAAAAGGGTGAGTACACAACCTTCACCAGCTGATAAAGTTTGGCAAAGATCAACGTAGGCAAACATATAGTTTTGTCTCCAGTACCCTGTGTCTAGTAGAGAAGTATGACTAGGACATCTCCTCCTTCCACTCTCTTCCGAACAAAGTTCACTTCAGTAGGAAATTCCCAGTGTCTTCAATTGGGGTTGGTCCAACTCTACCGGCAAGTACGTATGAAGGTTTCCTAATTCTTATCAGCAGTACAATTCACCCGGTTGCTAAGACGGATCAGCTAATAGGAATTAGACAATTTTACTATAAAAAGGAATCAAAACAGGGGTAAAGTATAGAGCTAGGGCATAAGAACAACCATCAAAAATTGACACAACCTTGCATTTTGATAAGGGGAGTTTCGTGAACCCACTGGCAATCTATTCACTCCACTACTGAGTTCAGCAATAGTTTGCACACTTGTTCATAGTATAAGTACAAGATACGACACGGGAAAGTTTCGTCCACTTGTTTTGGGCTTTCACGCGCTTTTCCTTCCACAGACATTATTACATGTGCGATTTTATGTGGAACGCTACACCCCCCCCCCAAATTTTGTAAGAAAATGTCATACTTGTTCCTTCTGAACATGGCATATGAGCTAACTCATTGTTACGAATAACCACCTATGAGGGCTATACTCTCCGTTATTGCTCAGTAGAAAGGAGCAGCTTTGGAGCTCGAAACTGCCGGCGGTTTCAACAAGAAACCTTGTGTGCAACTTCCGGAATTTTCACTATGAACCAGAAACTCGGAGCCCTATTTCTTGATCTTCTGTGTTCTTGTTTCGAGGACAAAACATCTAAATAAGAGGCGGTTCTCGGAAAGATCACATTCGGTGTTCGTACCGACGGAAGATGAAAGTAGCCGAGGAATGTTGGTTTTTTGGTGAGTCAGACATGTATAGAAGAGCTTATGGTGAAGCCCCTTCAGAACGGTGACTTTGGAGTGGAATCCCTTCAGATTAGCTTCAGAATTCGTCAGAACAGTCTTAAAAATTTTATCGCGGGCGGACACAGAGACTAGATACAGTGCTCCGATCGCCAGACTCAGGCCATGCTTGATGAGTGCCAAGTGATTCATCATCACGAAAAGATTTTTATAGAAGAAATACGATGAAAATCAAGTTGACACATTGTTGCTAGATTCATCATCCAACAAGAATCAGCTCAACTGGCTCCTGTTGACTGATCACTGATGGTTTTAAGTTTGCTGCGCTTTTAGAAACTAAAACGACAGGAAGACAATTTCTTTATCTGTTGACTGACTTTCTCCCAAACGACCTTGGTCCGCTTCTTAGTGGAATACGTTCAGTCCATATCGGCGCACAGTCCTACTGACAAACTGTTGTAAAGTTTCTAAGACGTGTTACCTCCAGTCATGTAGCTAGTTTCTGTTAGTCACCAGTAACAACGTACTCCGCCTTGTGATGAAACGTGGCCGGTCCCGGTTGTCCTGAGATGTTCTGAACTATCAGTAAATATGTTCGATCATGAAAGCTTGCTGGACCATCTGTAAACCGCTTTCGTGATTTTTGCAGTGGAACACACTTTGATGTAATCTACGCATCTAAGACATTTCTTGTGAAGCCTTTTGAAGCAAAAATGACCTGACGATCTCGTAAGCATTCAAAAACACACGTGACGGTCATCCGTCTTTTTGCTCAACCTCATCATTTGAATATTTACCAATTCTTCCATTTGCATCAGGTCACATTTATGTGGTCAACGAACGCAGATGATGAGATTAAGAAAATAAAAGGATTTGGGTTCTTGAAGGACCAATCGCCCACATCTGAGCTCAACAAGTGGATTTGAACTAACACCTACACACTTCGAGGTACAGAATCAACAAAAGTCAAACACCTGATGCTATGGGCCTGCCCATAATCATCGTAAGTTTGCTTGAGCAGAATCTCAAACAGTTAACGAACACTCTGTAGGGATGACTACTGGTGACTATACATGATTTGACTACTCACGAGTAGCCTAGTTACTCAACTAGGTCAAATATTGGTTGGGATAATTTGAATCCTATTGAGTACATTAGCTGTCTTCTTCAAGAGATTACCTCCTCCCACTAACTAATGCTATTACACTGCGCCCATTTAGGCTTAGTTTAAACCATACACCTATTGAGAGATACCGCCTCAACTCCCAAATTGACAAATCTAAGTGTTCCCATGGTGCAAAATAGCTTCCGAACATGAACAAAGAAAGAACATTTGAGACGGCACGCTGATTGGTCTATTAAATAATCAGACAAGTGTAAGTAAATCCGAGTAGATTCCAGGTGATGGCTTTGAACTTCTGTGATCCTGTCTTTCGTAAATTTTGTTGTTTTCCTGAGATGACCATATCAAGGGAGCGAGAAAAATGGCCTACTTTGGGAGGCTTCGCGGTTTACGCAAAGTTAGAGTGGCGAAGTCAACCTAAAGCCTTAAACTGTAATATTGCTTGACGATGCCGCACCATACTCATCGATGACATCTCTCGCCAAACATTTAGCATAATTTTCTGGTACCAGCACAGCCCCGGTGATAGAACTAGATTTCGTTTTTTATTCTAACGGGACAGGGTTGTTAAAGCTCTGTGCCTTATCAAAACGACAAGAAAGTTCTACTCTGAAAGCAAGCTTAAAACCTAACCACAGTCATTAGCAAGCATATGTTATAGAATTCATCATGCGGGTGGATTCATGTCGAACCATGTTGCCGCCACGGGTAAGGAAACTAAACTGGTCGTGGTCGCAAGGAAACCTGCTTTTACCAGTATTTCCTTTCGAAAGGTAGTCAATCACTGATCTGATTTGGCGTCTATGCACATCACACAGTTCAACAAACGTTTTCTGTCCATTCACTCAAAGTGTGATTTACAACTACTCAGCTGATATCCCTGCACATCAGAGATAAGTTGCCATTCAGTGCTCTGCAAGAGGGTAAAACAGCATTGCCGGTTTTGGCTGGCTACCCGACTGAGGATGTCAATCAATAGCCCGGTGGTCGATTTCTGTCATGTGATTAATATCAGGGCCTGACCACAGATAAAGCAACTTCGATTCGCTTACGTGACGCGAGCTCATACACCCAGAATGCTTTCGTTCGTGCATTGCGACTCCCCTGTTTCTGACCACTGGCCATTTAGATTCCTGAATTTTATCGTAAACAGTTTCCTTTTACTTCCAGGCTCCCTTTTGTCTTTGATTTTCTTTTGTGTCATTTATTTTTGTTCCATAGACCTTCAATCTTCACTGACTAGAAGACATCAAAGTTCGTCAACTTGGATTGTTAAGTTCACAATGACTGTCCAGCCACTAAAGAAATATACTATCTCTCCTCTCGAGTAGAGGCACCACGCAACTACCCGCAGTCACTCTTGTTCCCTTGTCGAACGTTCCAAGCCAAGCTCAATAAGCTGTCTTAATGATCCATGGCAGTTTACTTTCTAAACGGCTCCACCAAATGACCTGAGAGCAAACTGAGCGAGAGCTACATGCACGAAACACTATTAGGACGGAATATGAACCATAGCAGTAGGTGCCAGAACAAACTGAGTGTGCCTTACTGACACGACCAATGTGTACTCACAATGCCAACGTTCGTGGTCTGGACTCTATTCCCATGTTTCCTGACAGCCCGACTGTTGCAGGAACGGTGAGCGTCGCGCATACTCNTGTTTCCTGACAGCCCGACTGTTGCAGGAACGGTGGGCGTCGTGCATACTCACCGACCAACAACTTTTTTGGTAGGTGATTTTCTAACTGAACAAGAATTCCTGGGGTAGGTTGGACCAAAGAGGTGAACAAACTTTCCACAAACATGAGTCAACGCTTTGAAAGAAGTAAATAGACGAACTCTCTCAAACTATGCCCATCAACAGTTGCACGTCGTCTCTTGGCCTAAGTACCCATCATCTCTTTGGTATTTGCTCTGAACACGGATCGGAGGGCTAACGGCCCGAACAACCGCGCCAGACGAAGGGTTATCGACCTCGTTGTGTAGTGCCAACCGCTATGTAGGCTTCTCCAAGTGCGCTTTCTACTGAGTCCATAATCGGGATTACCAGACAACTTATCACTTGGTGGTTTGGATCTTGCCAATAGAATGTCATTTGGTGGATTAATAGGCGACGAAACCGAAAATCGTTCAGCCGTAGCACCCTTTCAGTGCCTAGCTATCATGCCACCCAAAGGAAATACGAGGGCTGAGATGCTGCCAGGTTGCCCAAGCCTAGACAGGGGAAGTTGAGAGGCAGAGGTCGGGTTCGAACCACGGACCTCCCGCCCAGTAAATTCGCGCCCTTACCACTTGGTCCACCTCGCCCTGGCAGTATCCCAGCCCTCTGCTTCCTTCGTGTGGCATGACAGCTAGGCACCGAAAGGGCGCTACAGTTGAACGACTTCGATTTTGACTAGGTGACGAAGGGACTGCGCAATATACTTTCCCCCATCTTTTTAGCGCACTGGGGTGAGGTTGGCAGAGTACGACTGAGTCTGTCAGCCGAAATAATGAACACCCTGATGCCTTTCATCCGGGTTCAGTGAGGAAGCCATCATATCACCAAACAGTTTCACCAGCTGGTGCCTCCATCCGCGTGTTCCTTTTCCTCTGGAAAAACGAGAGACCTCCAAACAGAATATGGTTTGACTTGTGAAAAGTAAATTTAAAGAGTCTTGGGGGGGGGGGGGTGCCTCAGTCAGGTGCCCTCATCTGTGTGAGGAGTTCACAAATCCTGTCTAGCACCTTAGAGCTATGGTTAAAAGATTCTGCCACCAACGCCGGCGGAACTACCCGGTCTAGTAGCATGTAGTTTAAAGTATAATTGTTATATCAGCAACCTAACAGAGTCATCTACATCCATCCATCCATAAGAGAGTGGATCCCGCTGTTTCGCTCACCTCTGCCAGTCAAACTTCTAAATAATGCTACAAAGCACCCTCATGTAGAAAACTACCAGTAACAGATAAAAGATCCAAATAAGTGACCATCAAGAAGCGCACTGAACTGAAAGTAAGAGTGATCTTCCAATGATGGTAAAGAAAGGCGTATAAAAACGAGATACCTCGTAAACGATCGTTGCGATATAGGGAGGCAAAGTGAAATGAAGACAGCTGCTACCTGCTGTTTGAATTGTCGGCAGACACCTAACAAAAAACGCAAAAAAAGACCTTTCAAAAAATCATCAAAAGAGAATGGCCGATATAGAATTTAAACTTGTTTCGCCAGGTTGGGTTGCGCTTGGGTTCTTGGGTAGCAGAGCAATTGGGATCAGACCTAGGTGGAGTGGATAACCCCAAATTGTTGTTTCGGTTTGAGATCCATAGATAGAATTTCTGTTTTAGGCAGGTGAAGTATTCTGGGCGCCGTTTAATGTAGATTTGGTGGTTTTGTCCCAGCTTAACGAATACCGTGCTCAGTTTCATGTCCCATGAGCAGCTCGATCAATATCCAATCATATGACAGCAGTATATCCTATGACTGGTTATCCTTTGGGGCCAGAGCAGGTTTTGGCGTTCGATTCTGAGTGCCACTGCCTTTGTCTAGTCCTCTTCATGGTCCATCGAGCGCAAAGGTTGCTGAATTCGCTAACGTTCCGCAGTAAAATGTTTGAATGGTTTGTTGGCCAGCAAACGATAAGCTTCTTGGCTGAGCCGTTGAGAGACAAGGTTCCATGTCTGTTGGAATGTCTTCACTGAACGGTGGTCCGGAGCTGTTTCAAATTACACTATTTCAGCTTGTAATCCTCGAACAAAAGGCTCCAGGAAGAAAAATCGCTTTAAGAGATTCAGTCGTAATGTGCTTTACCCGTAACTCTGAGTTGTGTTTTGTCATCCCGGGGGATAATGGAAGTTATACATCGTTTCGATTCCATGTTGTCTCAGTGCGACAGCTTGGAAAAGATAAGCTTTTGCACTCTTGACGCTTTCAATCGGTACATGAATAAATGGAGCTGGCTTCTCCATCGCACAAAACAGTATATTCGTTGCCTGCTGCAACCTGTCCCACCTCTTCAAAGTCTCCCTTTGTCCTTTCTAGCGAACTGTTCAGAACGATTCTGTCGGGTTCATCTGGTAGTTACTGTTGTTCAGGTGAGCAGCAGTAGTACTCTTCACGTTCCGTTCATACGTTTCTCAGATAGGCGACGATTAGTAAAACTCGCATAGTTTTCTCCCTTTCGGCAGAAGAATGACAATGCTGAAGCACGAACCTGCAACATATCGCTGGTTGTGATATCAAGCAGCCAAACACCGTTGAAACGCGTTGGCAATTGTGAGGATCCTGAGTCGTAACTTCAAGGAGGAGGCGAAACTATGGGTCATTATGCAAGAAGCTTCTGTACTTTTAGAACGTCGGCTGGAGCAGGCGGTCTTTTTCAATTGCGATAGGTTCGTGTGAAGCTGCTATTCGTTTTGTGACATGTTCACTGCAAATTGAAGTTAAAACCGACATGCCGATATCTCCTCGTCCCTTTGGACGACTGGATCAGGTCAGATCATTCATTCACGGGAACGTTTGAGAGCGTCCGTCAAGTGAATCTTGGAATGCAGTGGGTTTGGAAAACTCTTCAGCCTGGATGCGAAGAATGAGAGTAGAGCTGGGCCATAGACCTTCTGCGCCGCCATGGGCTGGCTGTATGGAGCCACTATGTTCAACACTGGGTTCTCTGTCGATCCTGATGGGGCTGAGGGCCTTGAATAAACTTCCACACCATGTCTAGCCATATGCTCAGTATTTCTGAAGGTTTTGACTACAAATAATCATTCTAATATATCGTAACCTGGAGGTGTGTTTTAGTATGGATAAGATAATGACCGTCTGAGCTGGTGATTGAACCTGACATCGTCTTTCCTCCTATCCAACCCCTGCCTTATCACTTTATTGCCGTTGTAGTCATTAACAAGAATAAAACTTTTTCACTGTTTCGCGTGATTCTTTGATATGGTGAATTAAAATGGCTCAAACCAAACAGCGTGTTAACAAAAACACCTGACGTGTAATGGTACGGTCGAATGGTATTGTTTGTTTTCTGACCATTTAGCTATAATGGCTTTTTCCACCAGCTATGACATGTGGACGGACTACTACAGTTGCATTTTAAGACTTGTACATTCTATATCTCACATACAACATTCTACAGGAGCAAGGTATCATAACAGGATCAAATCTGCGAAATGCATTCATTTGCATCCTAACTTGGTCTTCACGGGATACACAACAGCACCTCTTGTAAATGAACTGGCATACAAGTGAGTGTTTTTTGCAAAGCTGTGCGATTTGAGTTGATTCATGGAAACTGGCCGACTTCACCTACCGGATGAGCCCCAAGAAAGGTTGTCAAATTTTTCCGGTAACCTTATGAGCAGTGTGCTAGGTCTATAGAATTGAACCTGCCTCTGAAAAATGTTATCGTTGTTTCCTGAACCTTTGATTTATTATGAGAAGGTACAGTCTGTCTGATGCAACCGTCGTTGGTGGATGGTTTCAAGGAAAAGGAAATTTTACGAGTAAGTTTTCAAAACAGACAATCGATTCCAGCGCATTATCCGGTTCTTTATAGATCGCTATTTTTATTGGCAGTGGATATTACGAGACTCGGTCCCAAAAATGGTTAGCAAGGCGTTATGTGGGAAATTTTTTCTACATTTTTCACGTTTATCTAACGCTTAACTTTACTGCCTTTGATATGGTACACTACTTATAAGGCTGTTGAAAACGCTTTGATAGCCCCCTACCGATTTCGCCCTTCCTTGTGCTCGTCAGGCACTAAGAATGTGCTTTTCTTGAGCACCGAATTGTATGACACTGACTACGTACACTCATTTGCAAGAAGGGCTGTTGAAGAGGTTTCAGCAACCTCGCAAGTAGTATGCTTATTTAAGAAAATACCCTGCGATATCTGGAATATCATTTTAATGAAACATGAGGCCACCTTTGTGCAGCACATTCAATTGGAGAGTACCATGAACGAGAGATTAAGCTAAGCCTCTCTTTAGCATCAACGTGATTCTTGAATGGGTGTATTCGGTCAGTTGAATATTCCCTTATATGTATAGTGAGACATATCTTATTGCGGCTTACCTAGAGACTTGCCACACACACACACGCCAGGAAATTACATCCACAAGGCAGCATTGCCAGAACTCACAGATCATCCACTTTTCGATGTTTACCAATATCGAAGCGCCAACCGGAAGGCGCTAAAAGCTTTGTTAATAAATCAGTCTCTTGTTGTTTAATGGACAGGAAAATGCAGGAAAGAAAATGCCGCCAAACACAAAACCCTCACAACACGCCAACTAATATATATCCGCATATATCCACACCAAAATCGACTGGCATAGATACTACGGTCACTCCCAGCCAGATGTGCCGCAATTTTACCCACACCCAAACACACAAGTGGTCGACGTAGCTTCAAAGCGTTCCGCCTCGAGCCGATTGCAGTCGGTGGTCACGCGTTGGCACACACAGCTGCCTTCTTGCTTGCTCGCCGGACTGTCATTGTGTAGAAACTCGGCTACAGGTTGTGCCGGACCTCGAACGGGATCAGCTGGCTCCGTCGGACGAGGAGGTCGTAGATCAGCAATTTGGGTGCCCATTAATGTCATGCTTCGGCATAGAAACGACGATCTTCGCCGTTGTTTTCAATACGGCTGATTATTATCACGTTCCAGGTGAGCGTGTCGACTGATTTTATACATACACGCCTCTCTCTCTCTGCTTCCGACCTCGCCACCCGTCCACCCCACAATGTTGTACAAGTATGTGGACCCCAAAACCTGGGAGGGTTGGTTTATTTAGTGCCGTTTGTAAACACGAGCCGTGCGACGTTTAGGTCGGACACAATAACGATATGATGCGTGGTACTTACATTCGAACGGCTTACTTATGAATTGTCTCTTAGTACGACAGTGCTGGACAACTGATGTGATAGATAAGTGAGGTGAAGGCGAAGAAGAAATATGCTCGCCATTGCGGTAGTTCTAACATGAAAACTTGCGGACGTTATAACCAGTTTGCACGACAGCAGCGGATACTGAAATGGTTAAAGCTTACAGTAAATTGAGTAGCAGCCCGGTCTGCAAAGCATCTTGGTAGGGCTTGACTACACTGTAAAATATTATCTATTTGATTCAAACGCCTTTACTTCAGGGAGCAATAAGCTGACTTTCAATAATAGCCAGAACAAAGATCGTGCGTACTCACTTCTTATAAAAAAGGTTTTGGAGATTCTCAAAATTACTATCAACTGTCCAGCTGCTGTTTTCGCTACACCAAACCTGCCCGACCGATACAATTCGCGCATGTTTGCTCACATAGTCACTCCCAGTGAATACAACTCATCAATATGACCGCAGTTTTGACAATTTCGATAAGTTCGATAGACCGTTCTATATCCGTAGCTGTGATGGTAACACCTAAGTGACGATTCAAACGAGCATTTCTCTTAGGATGAATAGCCAACAGGCAGAAAAGTTCTAATCAGAAGGAAAGATGAGGCACGCTTCGGAAAAAGTTTTCACATCTAAGGCAAGTTTTAAAGCTTGTAAAGCTATTGGCTATCATGAAATATTACGCTCCATTCAAGCTTTTGCTGGCAGGCAAGAAAATATTGCAAGTTCTCACCAGTTTTACCGGGGAGTAATGCTGTTTTCGGCCATACCCCTGAATGAACGTTGACACACATTAGTTCTACACCTCTGAATTTAGTCCTACGTATTACGTTCACTAAAACCAGGACGCTTGGGCGTCTTAAATGGCACAATAATTTCTGATGATGATGACGGTGGTCGTGATGATGATGATGATGATGATGATGATGATGATGAACCTCTGCTTCAGAATGGCTTCAACAAGCGATACTGCGCACATGTAATCGTGTAGTCGGTTTCCAGTGAAAACGTGGTTGTCGATTTTATTCACATGACTTATATATTGCTACTCTGCAGTGTATTCAACTGTAGTCCTTTCCCCAGACCGTGGCTTTGCCGTTCGCAGACAAGTAATTGTTTCCTTTTATGGAAGGTTCACGCGTTGGTTCAGTTAAGTAAACCGAGTCAGATAAATCTGCAGTGCTATTTTCCATCAATCCATTTTCTTCGGTCAGGACATTTGTTCTAAACTCTGGGTAAAATTTTTGACATCTTCATTGCTCTAAACAGGGATTTTCCACCGTCCAAAGTTTTCAGGTCACAGACTGTTATTACCGTTTACTACGACAGCTTTTTTCAGAGGTGAATCTCGTTTTTCCAACGACTTTGGTGTAGGGCTTTGCGCGTCATTCAGAGTGAACCCATTGGATACGATATCGCCCACAGCGTATCTCCACCACACTCATAAGCCACGTCAACTTATGTCTCGTCAGCAGCAACCGGCATGAAAATATTTTATTTATATCGTCGACCAGTCGGGGGCTGCAGCATTCTCCCGGGCCGCACCGCAGTATCGTCCCATTATCACGCTCATTCATGTAAGTGTTAGTAGTTACCTCACCACGCAAGAAGGACATGAACCCGTTTTCCTGCAGACTTTTGCATCATCCTCAGGTATTCCTTCAAGCATGTCTTCCCCCTATCGGGCTGTGTTGGAAACCGAGAAAAATCTTCATCTTTTTTTCTGAAAAAGTGAAGTGTTATGGAAACTAAAAACAAGAGGCGATAAATAATTAAAAACCCTATCATTTCATCGGATTTTCGGGCAAAAGAGCTCTCGCTTGAGTCATAAAAAACACTGACTACCCGATGGATCCAAATCTTACCGAAACACACCCATTTGCATACCCGTTTGCTTTGGACGAATGACTCAGCTAGAAACCATTTGAATCTCTCGTTTATGATGTTCGTCTAAAATGAGTGTGTTGTATCAGACCACTTCGTGTTTCAGTTGAGATATTATAATACACTACTCCTAAGATTGTCGAAGAGTTTTCAGCAAATTTAGGAGTAGTGTATTACGTCTATACAAGGCAAGACATTCTTAGAAACTTAGCTGTGGCATAAAGCCTTGTAGATATTTGGGATTACAGATCCGTTCTTGGTGTGAATGACGTAAATAGTCCTAAAAAGCCAAGTTTCTAAGAAAGCTGACTCAGAGTATATTGACGGAAGACTCGTCTGGAACCCAGCTGAATCCCTCGCCGATGATGTTCATCTCAAATGAATGTGCTACAAAAGGTCGCCCAATGTTTCAGTTGGCACGACATTCGATATATCACGATACATGTATAGATGTAATACACTTCTGAAAACCCTTCGGCAGCCCACGACCGGTTTCGCTCTTCTTGGGGTTCATTAGGCAGGAGCCTGCCTGGTGTCCGCGAACTTATGAGAAGTTTATAACGTCTAATCGAAATCTGGTTTCCAGGAATAAAAATCATTCAGTAGTTTAACCACGTGTAGCATGCAATAAATCCGTAGACCCAGCTTCCCCCTTTACTCTGTTATCTTCAGTCAAGAGGGACCTCTATCCAGTGACTACTGACTTGGTCGATCTGCACGTAATAATTCTATAGAATTCTATGCCCACTGTTCTCACACACTGACACACCTAGTCCTAATCACTACCGATCAATAATTTGTGGCGAATTAGTGTTATCAGTGGAGTTATTAGTATTGGTGATGTCACGAACTATAAGTAGCTCGAGTGCACTGCTCGGTTGTTGGTAAGTTCGCCGAGTTTGGCAGTTGAAGTGTAAACGTTTTATCACTAGTCGAGGTGACGTCGTCGGTGAGGGTTTGAGTGGGTAAAACACTCATTCATTCAAAGTGTCACCCAGGTCAATCCAAGCATTTTGCCCCGGGCAACAGGATTGACCAAGCGAGGTCATGGTCAATGCCTTGTTAGCTGCTACGGCGGGATAACAAAACCTGTATGGATATGTTGTCCTTACCATGGATTCGTTCATGGTGTTCGGAACAGAAGTGCCTGAGACATTCGAATTACTGTGCGTGGCGAAGTTTCTTTCACTGACTGACCATTCAAACATCGTTCTCAAAAGCTCCCTCTCTCTCACACACACACAGTTTAATGCGAACATTTTTGTGGTTGTTTAATATCTGGCCCGGGCGAAGTGCATTTGATAAGAGACACTAAAATATTTTCGGAACAAAACAAATGCAGTTGCTATCATTCTGCCGGAACCACTGGGTCCAGTCTAGGATGTTTGTGTCGGTAACTAAAGTCCATAGCATTACTCTCAACTAATCTGTAGACTGGGCAACAGATGCGACCCAAATAAATGTGATATGATCACGTGGGAGCTTCATTACCCGTAAATCAGCGAGTTTCAATGTTCGAACTGCTAACATTAATCAAGACCCTTGCTATCGGCCCAGTTGCTGGGTTGGAACACTCGTCACCGGAGGTGTGAACACTCGTTGGGAATGCACACACGGACCCAACGTATGGTTGCTGGGCTTCGACTGACAGCCACAGCAGAGACGAAAAGGTTCGATATTAAAATTCGCGCGTCTGTTTTTGCATTTTTGTCTATGCCGCAATTTATGGTCATTTTTGACTTCCACAATGAGGGACTGTCCAATGTCAACTTGTTTCCTCCAGTCCGATGGCTAACACCCCATATTTGTTCATACACTAATAGGGGGTAACGTGGGCAAACTAGTGACCAATCCCTATCAACCGAAATGGTAAATATTGTGTCGTGACAAGCATAAGCGCGTGCACGCACTCCACACAAACCTCGATGTCGGTTCACACTCATAAGATTTACGTCTCTGAGAATGGCGTGAAGATCGGTTCAAGTCAGCGATATACTGGGACGATTTATGAGGATGGCTGGGACAGTGAAATGTCACACATGCACAACTGGATGCATAGACGCAGACACATCTTTGGATGATAGAAGGGACAAATTGCTAGGTACGTGTACCCTGTGTGACATGACAATCTCTGCGTAGCTAGTTGGAAATTCGATCGATTAGGAGAAGGAGAAAAACTTAGGTTGTTGCGTCAGTGTAGACGGACAAGGCATGGCAATTAGGCGAGAATCCACAGAGCACACAAAGTCTTGTGCACTGACACCAAGTGAACTTCTTAATGTAATCGACGTTGGGAAGGTAAACCTGACCTGATGATAGCAAAGCAGTTTTTTAAAGTATACTACAAACTGTTTACTAGGATAGTTGGCGAACCAACGGCTTTCTGAAGTAGCGTTGGCTTCCATTGGAAAGAGGCTTCCCATAAGCGGTTCGTCCAATTGCAACCAGTCTGAATGCATATGGATATGGAAGCTTTGTTTATTCAATAAAATTGGTTAATACGACTGATGAACGGCAATCAGATGCAGTTCTAAGTTTGCCTAATGACTTTATTTTTCGCTCTACTTGTCAAGAAATACAGTATGCCCACTGAAAACGATGTTTTCATCAAAATAGTCACCGATGCCACTTGTACAGTGTTGTCGAGTTGATTTCATTGTGGATACAAATTGATAGAGGCTTCAGGTGTTTCTTTGTGAGCAAATTTATTTAATGCATATTCTCAGAGAATCACTGGATGAGACCAGTGAACATGAGACTAGTATCCACTTCCACGAGGTAGGATTTGGTGCTCCCCAGAAAATGTCAACAGCGGAACTCGAAGGATTTCG